GGGTTAATTGGAGGGAGAGCAGAAGGTCCTTTTCCCTGATTGAGATTATTTGCCTGGCTCAGTCGTCATTCCCACTTTCGTGTGCCGAGACTTTTTAGAGACGTTTGGAATGAGGGGAAGGGTTGACTGAAGATTGTTTATACGGGGTGCCCATTGGGAGATCAGGTCGGGTCGGGTTGGTTTGCTAGCCAGATTGAGGGCGCAAAGTGGCTATCGTGGCACAAGCCGTCGCCTCAAAAACAAACGCGTCTATTTTCAGGCGACGAGTCGGGCGGTCAACCCAACCCGACGTACCGATCCCATCCGCAAGGGGTACCCAATTTTAGAAATCACGTTTTACTTGTTGGTTCGACTATCCAGGGCTCCCCGTGCACCCGCCACAGACAGGGCCCAACGAGGGGGACACATTGCTCCGATAGCTGTGCCAGGGGGTTATGCTGGAGTTGCGTTCTTTACGAGAGTGGAACAGACCCTCCAGTAAAGATCCCCCCCACCCCACCCCCTCACCTCCTTTGTCCCCTCCTCATCTGGGCACCCGACGCTTTCTGCAGCCTTATTTCTACTGGTACTCCTATTACTGCTGTCTTTCAGCCACACACCCCTGATCTTCTGGTAAGAAAGATTTACACCTTGTCTTCTCGGACAAGGGAGAAAAATCTCGGAGGTCCCGAGTGCAAGTTGAGCATGTTAAAGGTACTTTGGTTGTCTAAAATCGATAAGAGTAGACTTCAGCCTACATTTCCTACCAACTGAAAAATGTTTAATGTGCCCCGCGCGCCCATATGACCATACATGCAGTTGCGAGTGCCGTAAAACACTTACTAAAAAAAAAAGAAAAATGAATGGACCAGAGACACACAGACGGACTTTCAGATCCCAACCGACTGAGTGGCAGGGCCGTACTAGTCAGCCTCTTTAACCCTATCCGTACACCCTGGGATCATTTTGTACCCCCGGGGTTATATTCTTCACATTTTAGAATACTTCTAGTACGAAGATCTCGTTGAAACTATCAGTATTTCTCAAAAAATCTTTTTGACAAACCCCTATCCAAAGCGTACGGGGTGGGGGGGGGGGGGGGGGGGGGGGGCTCTCGTGGCCTAGAGGTTAAGGTGTTCGCCTCTTTGTCAAAGGTCCCGGGTTCGAATCCGGGTAGCGACCAAAAAATTGTCTTCTCTAAAATTGTCTCCTTTCACCTCCTTTCCTGCTCTCTAGCAATGTACTGTTGTCTGCTTTATTTCCACTTTCTGCCCCCACCCCCTCACCTCCTTTGCCCCCTCATCTGGGCTCCTGACTCTTTCTGCAGCCTTTCTACTGCTACTCCTTGGCTCCTCCTTACTGCTGTCTTTCTGCCACACCCCTGATCTTCTGGTAGGAAAGATCTACACCTAGCCTTCTCGGACAAGGGCGAAAAATCTCGGAGGGCCCGTGTGCAAGTTGCGCACGTTAAAGATCCCTTGGTGGTCTAAAATCGATAAGAGTAGGCTTCGGCGCCACCCGGGCAAAATTCAAAATTTCCTACCAACTGAAAATATTAGGTGTGTCCCGCGCGCTCATATGACCTATGCAGTTGCGAGCGCCGCAAAACACTTTACAAAAACAAAACAAAAAAACAAAAGCGTACGGATCAAATTAACGAATAAATTTCCTCTTTGGAAAGTGGTGGCACAGAGTTCCCCACGCCGTATGGATACGATAGTAAAACACGACGTACGATAGGGTTTTAAAAAACCCAAACCTAAACCAAAAACTACGAGAGAGAGAGAGAGAGAGAGAGAGAGAGAGAGAGAGAGAGAGAGAGAGAGATTTTCATAAACAGAGAAACCAAACAGAAACATACATCAATAAAAGGTTATCTCCATGTAGTTCAGTGGCTATCAATCTATTCTCTCTCTCGCTGGTTCTTTCGTCCCCACTTTGGTATCCCCTACTGGTAGCGAATTCTACACATATTGTGTAAAATTCTGTGGTATCCCTATGACGTAGCAAAACTTGGGCTATTCCACGAGTGTAATTTTGTGTTTCTCTTTTTCTGTCGTCCATATTTTGAAAAAGAGCTTAATTAATATTCACGCGCACACACACACACACACACACACACAAACACACACACACACACACACACACACACACACGATCAGTCAACAAAATTTCTCCTACTATTTTGAAACAGTACGTTGTTCGACTGTGATCAGGTGTCTTTTTTTCCGCACGTGGCTGATTTAGAATCATCAGGCCATTTAGTGAAAGTTTTATTTTGCTAGTCTTTTTTTTTTTGTACGTAGTTCGTATTATTAATATTAGGGTGTTTTTTTCAGTCACGCACGCATGGGTTAAATTATTGTTCTGAAATTGCAAGTCATTACGCGTTGTTATATCAAAGATCCGGGTAGGGAACAACAAACAATAACATTTGTTGTTGTCCGTTTGCTCTTGTTAGTCTAATTTATTAGATGAGGAAAAGCCCTTTAACTGTGACTTTTCAGAATTCTTTTTTCCCCCTTAGATCTACGCCTTTATGGGATGATGAATGGGAGTTCAAACATTGTATAAATCTAGTCATGCACGTTTAACGTTGCAGACAGGTACAAAAAAAGAAGAAAAGAAGTTGGGGGGGGGGGGGGGAAGGGTCGATGTCTTCGCGTGATAAGGTGATAAGATACTAGGCCCTATAAGATTAATGTGTTAGAGAATTACAGTAAGCATGTTCACCATTTAATGTTCACTCAACAGCTCAAAGTTCGAGAGTTGACTGGGACACGTAGGATATAGGAGTGGTGTGGCTGAGGCTATAATTACACTATAATTAATGAACTTCCTTGTTAGCACGATATGTTAACATACGTACATTATACGCCTATAAGTGTGCAGGCCCACATAGTGTGTTCTCGCTAAGGAGGCATATATATATATATGATTATTATATTATTTTATATTATATGTAGGATTACATATATACACAGTCTTTGCTGCCACAGCAAAATGGGTGGGAGCGTAGAAATAATATTTTTGTTTTGTGCGAATTTCGCAATAGTGTACATTAAACTCAAGCAATATATAGGCGGCCTATACCAGAGATAATAATAATATGCATAGACTGCAAAGGAACAAAATAATATTCTGGACCTGAAAACCAGTTCGCTTAGCCGAGGCCTGCTCGTGTTGGTTATGTGTGCGTCTTCGCTGTGTGGCTGGACCACAGAAGTTGTCTTCTTTCTTTATTAATTAATAGATCTATACAAATGTATAGAAAAACAATTTTATCCGACCATGCTCACTCTCC